CAACTATATTTATACTATTATGACAAACATTTATGATGATGATACACTATAATGTTWTATACATMAATCTACTTACATTAAATGGTAGCCCACCTACAAAGATACGGTTGGTTATCTTTTTATAATGGCACACGAAACCGTTGTTGGACTGCAAGAAGCAAACAGGTTCTCATATAGATGTCAAATAGTAGGCCTAGTGTCAATACATCCTCACAATCACCGCAAAATGAGGTTAGTTGCATTGTTATTCTTTCCCTTTAGGAAGCTACAGCAATACCAAAACTTGTTTGGGGGCGATTATATGCACTAGGTCTTTATAAATGAACGTCAATGAGGGAAGATTACCATTTTGGTCGGTGAAGAAGCGGCTTAGTAGTAGCGAACAAGATCCAGTAAGCGTTTACTGTTGTCTGCACGAGTTTACGCACCTGTCACCCATAAATACTACTATGCTATGTCAACAAATATGAGGAGTATCATCTATCACGTCACTGGCTTGAGCAACTCGTATCGCGTGAGAAAATCACGTTAGACCTTTTACTTTTAGTATCAATGGAGACGTATGTCTAGCCTTTCAATACTGGCGCGCGGTAGATTAAAACAGCCGCGCAAATGAAAACAAAAGAAAASCAATGACAATACATCTAGGATTTTCTCCATGCTGTTCCACTTAAATAATCAYATTGGAACTGAAACAGAAAAAAGTAGCGAAACGTCTCTCATAAAAAGTGYAATGTTCCAGAGAAGTGCTCGCACCACTGCAAAACCTAGCTGGATCCCGATAGAAAGCACGGTTGAATCCGACTCTAGCTTATAATCTATCATTTCTTTCGTTTGCTTGTTAGTTTTAAATGTTCTTTCGGTTTTTAGTTTCCGCTGCTTGTTGGTTGGATTGTGTATCGAATGATAATTGTTCAGAGTTTTTGTGGTGTTGACCCGTTGTGATGTAGCGGCAATTCCACGTGATGATACGATCAATTGTTTCCCGCCAAAATGCATGGAATGTCCAGGTGTATGCAAATAAAGGTTACATATACACCAGTGACGTTTTCCCAAACTAGCAATCGTCATAGACGGTATAACGACGTGTATAACGGGTGTGCTTTTACGTCTCTAAAGATGTAATCCAATAGGATTGTTCAAAAACAAAACTGAAAACAAACGACAAAAAGTGTCATTGTTCTTTATAAAGAATTATACAGCCAAATAGAGGACTCGTTCTGAGAGAGGTGGAGACCTACAATGTATAACAGTCTGCTTGACAAGTCAGCTTTTTAATGTATCCCAGCCCAAGAAACGGACTTTCTCGAGACTTATATGATGAAATTTAAAAAATGTGTTTTTATGTCTTTGCTTCTCAAAGCCTCCATTTTGAAAATCTTCCACCTTTCATTTTATATTATAGTTTCATTTCTTTGTTATTTTGATTCTAGCTGCCTGTTTGACACCCATGTCAGTTCAAAAGCGACTCATCACCGCATAGATAATAAAGTTATTTTATTAATATTTCATTTTAATACAGTTTGGTCTAGCCATTACATATCTCACATATATGACATATACAAATTACTTGCTAACACAAGAAATAATCAATAATACATTATATAACAAGCTAAAAATATATAATATTTGTTAACACAAGCGCCCGCACTTTAAATAACGTTTTTCAGTCACACATCTCATCTATCGAACGTCAAAGAGAACAAGAGATCGAAGGAGGTTATATTTCCAACGCCTTGAAGATGTACTGGTGATCGCCTTTCATAATAATAATAATAATAATAATAAACTTTATTGGGTGATAAACAGATAAAGCGAAGCTTTTTTCCAATCTGGCCCATAGGGTAGTAAATATATAAAAGTAAAAGAAATGTTAAAAAAGTCTTTGAGTCTTAAGTTCCTTAGAAGCAAAGAGTTTGTTTTTTGCAAGTTCCCAGATATGTGCTTTGAAGGACTTAAGAGTTGAACACTTTGTGGTGCGGCTAGGGAGTTTATTCCATAAAGAACTTCCAAGAAAGGAAAATGACCGCTTGCCAGAGTTTGTTTTTGCTTTGGGGAGGAGTAACTTGTGATCATCTACTGTCCGTGTAACGTAGCGGTGCGTTGGTTTAGTCGGCAGCGAGGCCAGACAGGGCGGAGCTGAACCATATAAACATTGATGCATCAGTATCAGTATACGGAATATTATAATATCAGAGATTGGGAGAAAAAGAAGATCTTGGAAGAGCGGTAAGGAGGGAGACATGGCGT